CTTTCATTTTTCCTCCATGTGTTGGATGTAGCATTCTCTTTATCTTTAGAGAACTACATACACATTATAATAATTTTACCAAAAAACCATTGTAATCAATCTTACGTTTGAATTGCTGCCTAGAATGATCAACATATTACTAACTTTTTGTTTTTCTTCTAGTCAATAGTGGATTTAGCAATGTAAAATCTGACATGAGGCTGAGTAGCAGCATTTAAGGACATAAAGCAATATACCATAAAGAGATCCACTGTGTGCAAAGTGGTAATTAATCGCAGGTGAAAAGGAAAACTCAGTTTACAAAATGGCCTTGATTTATCCTGTGGCAAGCGTTAATGCATCAGTAAATACCATGACAATGCATGTGTTGGACTTTAATATTTCTTATAAACAAACTGGGTGTTTGGTCTCATGTTTGCTCCGAGTCCCATTGTCAACAACAACATTTGGATTCATCCTCTGGGGATTATTTCATGATTAGTTGGCCACTGAACAATGGAGGGCGACAAATGAAGCAACATTTGTGAGCCTGTTTGTCCTTTCCTTTGCTCCGTCTGGCTGCATCTTGGATCCTGATCTCGTCCTACACTTTGCATTTTCTGTGAAAACTGTAATCTGTCTACAGGCTGCTCACACATGATGATCTGCCCACTTCTCTCAGGGCTCAGATCTGCCACACATGCCAGCTGACTTTTACAGTGACAGAGCGACTGCTTCTCTATATTTCTCAGTCCATCTCTTTACCCACATCTGCACTTCCAGTGTGTTTCCTCACCCCTTGTGTCCAGTCTGGTCTACTCTCCGTGAGAGGGTCCTCTTTTATCAGCTCTTACTGTGCCTACTTTGCCAGATAGATTTATAGGGGAACTACGTCCTGTTAAAACTTTGCTGTGCTCCACCATGTGTGCACATGGTGTCAGCAGCTCGGTGTGTGTAAATTACGACAGAGACACTACGTGAGCTGTTTCAGGTCTCTTGATTCTTTTGATTCAGTGTGCATGTGAGGAAATGACAGAAACAGATATGTAGTAATCAGGAACACAGCTACAGAGAGTTGTGCAGTCGACATTTATTGAACCTTGTGAAGTAAAACTATTTTTATTACTATTATTGTAAATCCATGCTTTCAAATGGACTCATGATTCTGGTATCAATCAAACTTTCTGTTTTCATTGTGGGCAGTTCTGAAGCAGTTAAACTCACAACTGCTGCGATCTTAACCCGCACACAACCGTGACATCACATAATTCCTTTTGCATGGTGGTGCATGATCATGCCTGTCTCCAAATTATCACACAGTTTTAGCTCCCACCATGTTTAGAGTCTTCTGAAAATGTAGTTGCACAGTTACTCTCATCATTTTGTCTTGAGCTCTGTGGTTAATGTTCTTATCATCTAATTTTAGATGAGCTTTATTAGCATTGTTGTTAGGATCCTTCCTTTAACTTAGCAGCAGAT